GAAGGAAGGAAGGAAGGAAGGAAGGAAGGAAGGAAGGAAGGAAGGAGAGAGAGAGGGAGGGAGGGAGGGAGGGAGGAAGGGAGGAAGGGAGGAAGAGAGGAAGGAAGGAAGGAAGGAAGGAAAGAAGGAAGGAAGGAAGGAAGGAAGGAAGGAAGGAAGAAAGGAACCTTTCTATTTGTGACAACATGGATGAACCTGGAGGGCATTATGTTGAGTGAAACTAGCCAGACACAGAAGGACATATAAGAGTCCAACTCCTAGGGGTGCCTGGGTGGCTCAGTCGGTTGAGCGTCCGGCTTCGGCTCAGGTCATGATCTCGCGGTCCGTGAGTTCAAGCCCCGCGTCAGGCTCTGTGCTGACCGCTCAGAGCCTGGAGCCTGTTTCAGATTCTGTGTCTCCCTCTCTCTCTGACCCTCCCCCGTTCATGCTCTGTCTCTCTCTGTCTCAAAAATAAATAAATGTTAAAAAAATTTTTTTTTTAATTAAAAAAAAAAAAGAGTCCAACTCCTAGAAGCAAAGTGGAATGGCAGTTGCTAGAGGTTAGGAAAAGGGGAAACAGGGGAGCATTCCTCAAAGGGCACAAAGTTACAGTTGTACAAATGAGAAGGTCCTAAAGATCTACTGTACAGCACAGTGCCCAGAGTTAACAATACTATATTCAGTATACTTAAAATTTTGCTAACAGTGTAGATCTTGTGTTGTATTCTTACCACTACTACTACTACTAACAATAATAATAATAACAACAACAACAATAATAAAGAGGGTGAAAACAAACTGCTGGAGCTAATCGGTATGTTTACAACATAGATTACAGTGATGACTTCATGGGTGCACATTTATCTCCAAATTCGTCAAACTGTATACATTAATTATGTACAGCTTTCCTTTAATGCCAATGATATCTCAATTAAGTGGCTTGGAAAAACCCTCTAGATACACGGCCAGGAGTCTGTGTTTAACAAGCTGCCATGAGGTACTCTGATGCACTCCGAAGTTTGAGAGGAATACACCATTGTGTGGTTAAACATACAACTACGCTGTGACTCGGTAATTCCACCACCAGGTAATTAATTACAGAAGAAATGTAAACATGTGTCCACCAAAGAGATTTTTATAAGAATATTTATAGTTTTTTTATTCAGACTAGCCAAAAAGTGGAAACAACCCAAATGTCCATCAACAGAATGGATAAAACTCTGTGTTATCTTCAAACAACAGAACGTACTCAGTAATTTAAAAAGATAAAGACAAACTGTTGCTATATCTGACATTAATCTCATAGGCATATGCTAAGCAAAAGAAACTGGACACAAGACACAATGCATGAAGATCTAAATCAGGATAAACTAATCTACAGCGAGAAAAAAAAAAAAAAAAAAAAAAAAGCCACAAAAGGGACTGCAAAAGTGGGAGCCACTGACTGGGATGCGGTACAAAGGAAGGTACTGGGATAACAGAAATGTGCCAAATCTCACCAAGGGAGTACATATGTACCAAAACTCATTTAAAGGTATTCGAGATTTACATACTTCATTGCACTAATTTTTATTTAAAAAAAAAATTTTTTTTAATGTTTATTTTATTTTTGACAGAGAGAGACAGAGCATGAGCAGGGGAGGGGCAGAGAGAGAGGGGGACACAGAATCTGAAGCAGGCTCCAGGCTCTGAGCTGTCAGCACAGAGCCCAACGCGGGGCTCGAACTCACAGACCGCAAGATCATGACCTGAGCCGAAGTCGGACACTCAACCGACTGAGTTACCCAGGCGCCCCTCACTGTACTAATTTTTAAAACAGACTGTGCTAAGGGGTCCATAGGAAGTAAATAAACCTTTCCCAAATGTTTTCTTAGGGACACTAGTCCTGAGAGATGGGTCATGTAAAACAAAAGGGTCCACAGTGAAACAAGTCTGGGGGACACCTGACCACATTCTGTCTCAGAGACATGCATCATGCACAGCAAGACAAAGGTACTGATAACTCATGACCCAGGAAAACTTCATTGAATCTAAAGTAAAAAAGCTTCCACATGAGCTTATTTCACAAAAATTGCAGTTTTGACATTTCTTTCTTTCTTTTCTTTTTCTTTCTTTCTTTCTTTCTTTCTTTCTTTCATTCTTTCTTTCTTTTTCTTTCTAATTTGTCATAATAAATCCAAGTATCTAGAAAGACAAATAACACTCTTAAAACTGACAGTGCCAACTTCTGACGGGAAAAGAAAACCAGAAACTAAGGGAGACAGACCTGACTTGGGGAAGAACACGTTCAAAATTATTGTTAGTGACAGCAAAAGTGCCAAGTCATCTTTAAAAAGTTTGTATAGAAAAGAAACCCTGAACAAAGTTTAAAAAACAAAACAAAACTGGAAGATTGTATCACAGCAAGCCTACAGTAGAGTCCTTAGGGGGATCTTTATTTATTACTTTAAATATTAATGTTTATTACTTCCAGTAAGACCTATTAGATTGTAGCTTTATTCTCAGACAGACTGGCATGATTTACTTGCTTCCCATCACAGAGATTGTAAATGGTTTCACAAGGTAACCGAAGGAACAGCCTCAAGTATCTATGTAAAGTAAGAGCATCTATATGCTTATTTGCACATTTTTTTTAATTGTGAAATCTATAAAATGGATCCCCTAGCCCTTTGGCAGCAGGGCAGAAGAAATGCAGAAGATCAAGGAGTCACAAATCTATTTCAGAGAAGGGACATTAGCAAACACTCATCTCATTTTCCAATAAGGAGACAATGTTAACTTCTTAAAAAGTATTTATTTTTTAATTTATTTTGAGAGAGCAAGTGAGAGCACACAAGTCAGGAGAGGGGCAGAGACAGAGAGAGAGAGAGAGACAGAATCCTAAGCAGGATCCATGCTGTCATCATAGAGCCTGACGTGGGGCTCGATTCCAGACACCGTGAGATCATGGCCGGAGCCAAAATCAAGAGTCGGACGCTTAACCAAGTAAGCCACCCAGGCATCCCAAAACTTTTTATTTTTTTAAGTTTTAATTTATTTAAGTAATATCTACACCCAATGTGGGGCTTGAACTCATGACCCCGAGATCAAGAGCTGCATGTTCTTACAACTAGGCCAACCAGGCACCCCAACAATGTACACTTTTAAGTGGTTTTCCTAAGCAGTAGTTTAGGACATGCTCTTGGTTGGATAATTCTTCCATTTTCCCGCTGCCTCTCTCCCAGCACACGTTCTCATAGTGGCACAATCCAAAACCCCGCTCAGCCCCCGACTAGCTGTGGGCCCAGGAAAAGACAAGCTGGATGAGCCCATTTCTTCATCTATAAAATGTAAATGATAAAATCAATCCCACAGAGCTGTAACGAAGATAAAAATGAGATTAAAAATTCGAAGGTTCTGTAACCATAGGCAGGGCCCACTAAGAAAGGAAGCGCCTCCACCCCAGGTATTCAGAGTGTGCTCGGTCTTGAAAAGAAAATCAAGGAATCCAGTACATCCAAAGACAAATGTACTCTGTATAATCGCTGTTCGACTAACGAGGCCAAAGTAGGAGTACTCTGCCCTGCTTGTCATGCAAAGGTTTGGATCAACTCAAGCCAACACGTATAAATAAATGGGCCTGCAAACAAACACACGTGAGATGGAAAGTCTTTTCACAAAAACACATAATGATAAAAAGCATTAGTCTATAATCGTGCCTTCTGAAAACGCTGGGGCAAAAGGAGAGGGGGAAAACAACAAATGGGGAAATGATTACAAGTCCATCGCTATGTTTATAAAATCAGTATCTCACTGAAAGTGAATTTTTCTGTATTTTGTCCACGCGGACCAATTTTTGCTCTAACATTATTTCTCCTTTCAGAGATACCCTACTGTGATTGTTACCATTTTAAAAAAGTCTTCCTCCAATGTGCTCAAGCTTTATCTTTCCAAACTCATCCACTACGAACATGAGGTCAGTTTGCATTTTATTCTCCTTCTTGATGTCACTTGACCTCATGTCACTTTCTCTCTCAAACTGTTATGAGCAATCATGTGCTAAGGACATTTCACATACAGATTAGCTCTAAAGCATTCAAATGAATTATTAAGCCTGACTTTTTTTAAAGTCATAATATGAATACCATACCAGATGGAAGGTCATCCAAGGGAAATTCAAACAGTCTGGATTTGTAAACCGAATGAAAATGGAAATCCTCCTGCAATAACAAACAACAGAGATTGAGCACATGCAAGCACTTATCCCCAGCCTCGGGCAATGAGAGCTGAAGAAGCAGAGACCCCTAAAAGAAGCATGACTATGCGCCCTCCTGGATTTGGAAAGGCAATGAGCCACTGTGCAACCCTCCCCCGCCTGGATTCCCCCTGCACCAGAGAAATATCCTATTAGAAACAAAATGCCTCTGCAGACACAGAGGCCAAAGCCTGCAGTAATGGAAAATAAATGAATGAACCTATTCCCCCAAGGAGAAGTAAGACATCTGGGAAAATGGGCTAATGCTTTTTATAACTAGTTCCTTTCTGTGGATCCCTGCCCCACTTTCAGAGTCAGATAGTTTTGCTAGGCAAAGACTGCAGGGCTAACACTCTTCCGGTATCGGGGAGTAGGATGACTGGTGTAAGCAGATGCCCAAACGGACCTTGCTCCAAAATTCAAATGTCATACAAAGTTCTGTGACAAACCAACAGACAAAAAGTCCTGTTCCATCTAAGAAAAATTAATGAACATTCAAGTAACTACTTCTGGCTTCTTTCCATTAAAAAAAAAAAACACAATGTCATAAACAGTCAAGTTTCATGATACTGCCATAAAAACATCACCTGGCCAGGCGAAGTGATACGACGGCCAGTAATAGGCATCCAGAAAACAAAATACAATACAAACAGCTTCCCTTTATGGGTGGCAACACAGTGTGTATTTTTAGAAATTACTTAAGTGTTTGAACACTGTTGCATGACACGATGAAGAATGTTTCTGTGCACAGAGCTACAATGGAAGTGTATTATCTTTCTCTGCAGTCTATAATATTAACTCAACCCTCTTCTAGTTTTTTTGGAAAATGAATTGTTTCAACTAAAATGAAGGAGAAATTAATAAAACGGATTTCTCTACATTTCACCAGCACAAGGCCTTACAGACAATAGGCAATGGAGAAAAATCTGAAATCCAGAAAAGAAAATGAGTTGGAAAATCATGCATCTACTGAGTTCGTGTGTAACAGACTGAATGATTGTGTCCATCCCCACCCTGCCAAATTCATATGTTTAAGCCCTAACTCCTAATGTGACTGTATTTGGAGATTGGGCCTATGAGAAGGTACTAAAGGTTAAAACAGGTTTCAAGGGTGGGGCTGGGGTTCTTACAGGAAGAGGAAACACCAAAGCGCACTCTCTCTCTTTCTCTCTCTCTCTCTCTCTCTCTCTCTCTCTCTCTCTGCGCCATGTGAACACAGAGTAAGAAGGAAGCCATCCCAATTGAAGGAGAGAGCCCTCGACAGACATGGACCCTGCCGGCACCTTGATCTTGGACTTCCAGCCACCACAACTGTGAGAAAATAAATTCCTGTTGTTCAAGCCACCCACTCTCTTATGATGACTGCCTGAGCAAACTAAGACAAATCACAGCACATTATGGTGGAGTTAGAACAAAAATGGAGGCTTCAGAACACCTGAGAAGGAAAGTATTTCCAGTATCCAGAGAAAGAGACAGACTTTAAAAAACACTTGTGGTTTTGACTTATTCAATATTCAATTATATCCTGACTCTAAAAATATGAAAATAGAGACAAAAAAAAAAGGAGGAAAAGGGAAGAGGGAAAGCCCCCAATATAATTTTTTACATTGGCCACAAGAAACAGGAGCACTTACTTGGGAGGTGTCATTCTCTTCTGGTTCAATGAGATAGGTGTGGTTCCCATCATAGAACATTCCACTGCCAAGGACAAGAAAATAATCAGGCATAGCCATCTTGCCTCAGAACAAGATCATTTAAAAATCAACAGCTGCCGAAGGATGAATTCACTTCTCAACACTCACTTCCCAGACCCACCCATCATTGCCAGTTATACACCACATACCATAGACACACAGACACACACACATTCCCCATATACCACACCACACACACCTTACTTACCACACACCACACACATACACACACACCCCACATATACCCCCACATACCACACATACACAGCACATACAGATTACATACTACATACCACACACCATACCCCACAAACCTCCCAATACCACACCCCACATACACATACACACTGCACCACATCACACATGGGTAAACACACACACAAACACACACACACACACACACACACACACACACACACACACTACTGAAGGGAAAGGCCCGTTCCTCTGACTCCCCATAAACAGCAGGGTCTCCTCATCCTGACCCTTCCCAGGTTCAGGGTTATCATTCTTTAACTGTGGTCCATTATTCCTCCCTCCAACACATAATTTTAAAACTTTATATGCAAATAGTCACCTGGAGAGCTTGTAAAATTGTAAAACTTTCAGGGCCTTCCTCAGATTTCTTGGCTAGGGCCCAGGAAGCTGCATTTTAAACAAATCCCAGGTGGTTCTGACGCAGGTTGTCAGGGACTACACTGAGAATTGCCTATCTACCACACACCTGAAACGTTCTCTGGTAACAAGAGATGATGCATTTCAACGATTTACCATGCGCTAAAAACTTGACACTCATTTGAATCGCTTCCACAAATGTATGAGGGAGGCAAACTTGTACGTTTGCCTATACTCATTTTACAAGAAATGAAACCAAAGCTCAAAGAGATGAAGTAACCTTACCAAATTACATAACCAGGAAGATCAGAGGCGGGAACAGAGAGCCCAGGCAGATTGGTTCCTGAACTGCCTATCTGCAGTTGGCTACCTCTTCATCCATTCACTCATTCAGCACACACTTATAGAGCACCTACAATACACTGCTCTAAGTGCTGGGGGCACCATAGTGGACAAAACAGATGATTTTTCTGCCCTCATGGTGCTCATGTGCATTGCAGGGAAGACAGACAAAAAATATATAGTCAACAAGTATATATATAGATATAGATATAGATATAAATATAGATATATAGATATACTATATATATAGATAGGTATATATATTGATATATCTATATCTATATCTATATCTATATCTATATCTATATCTATATCTATATCTATATCTATATCTGGTGGTAAAAAAATTCTAGGGAGGAAAGTAAAGCGGGTTAAGGACAATAAATTGTGCTAGACGACTGGGTGTAGAGACCAAAGAGAGAAGACTGTTGATTTACATAGAGTCTCAAAGAAAGGCTTTCTAGAGAAGATCTGAAATAAAGGAAGGGAGGATATCTGTGCAAAGAGCGTCGAGCCCTAAGTGTGCTCCAGGAACATCAAGGATGCAGTGTGGCTGGAGTAGGGTGGGTGTGAGGAGGGCTCTGAAATGATTATCAGAGGAAGAGTGGGGCCACATGAGGCAGGCCCTTCTAACAGCCCTGGCTTTCACCCTGAGAGACATGTGGATTTAAGTTAGCAGAGGGAAACACGATCGCTCTTAAATTTTAAAATAATTGCTCCAACTGCTGAGTTAGAATAGTCTCTTGGATGGCAAGGACAGGAAATGGGGAAATTATAGCAATAATCCAGGTGGAAAAAAAAATGGTAGCCACCTAGATCACAATGGTAATGGTGGAGATCGTGAGAACTGGTCAAATTGGGGGTAGTTTTTCAAAATTAGAACACCAATAGGATTTACTAATGAATTTGAATTGGAGTATGCAAGAAAAAGTTGTGTCGATGAAAACTCCAAGGTTTTGACCTGAGCAACTGGTGAGATGGGTTTGCCATTTAGTCAGATAGGAAAAGCTGCAGGAAGGACAGAATGGACCTTGGAAGCAGGATGCAGGGAGCAGGGCATAAATCTGGAATTGGGTTTTGATCTCTTAGGCTGAAGATGACTATAAGCCAACTGAGAAATCCTCTGGAGGGCATTTTAAGCTACAGATGGCCTCAGTTCCCACTCAGAGAGATCCTGATGGCCATTCCTTCTAGGAGAACATGGTCTTTCTACTAAGATGAAACCTCTAATGACACTCAAGAAATGTGTCTTATCATTCAGGCATCTGAGAAGGGACGAAGTGTGATCTTCAGGAGTCCTTTCTCAGTGTTATGTGAAAATGACTGCATGAGACACAAACTGTTAAGCATATAATAGTATTTATCTTTTGATGATGGCTTAATGGAATCAGATGGTTTCCCTGAGCTGTAATCATAATGGCTTTCAGCTCTGCCTCTATCCAAATTCTTTCATTCCTACTGTAACATCTTCCACATGCCCTCAACTTTCATATACCCTTAGAACTGCTTCTCTCACATCTGTAAGGTTTTCCACCAAACTACACTTTCTGAATTTGGATGACATCGCATTTGGAATTTGAAGATAAACAGATGCAAGTTATAAGATATTACTGACAATACACTCCTAAAGAATCAGAGCGGGGGAAGCCTTTTTCAAACAGTAGACCAAATACGACAGCAGACATTCTCTCTGCACCTGTTGAGAACTGGCCAGACCCATCCAGAAAATGGTACAGAAAAACTACCCTTTGCCAAAATTCACATGGCTATGCTGATTAAACAGCAAGCAGATTGTTTTGTTTAAATAATCTAGGGTATTATTTCCTCTTGCATTAAGTTGGTTTCCAGTGTGAAAGTCAGTGACCTTTATTGGACCTAAACATCATGACACACAGGGTAAAGAAATCAGATTCTGACATCATATATATCTAGAAGATTCTGGCTCCCTATATGATAATGTGCCATCACTAACTCTTTAACTATTAAAAGGCATATGTGTTTTATTTGTTTTGAGGATTGACACCTTTCGGTTGTATTTATATAAAATTCCAATAAGTATATCAAGTCCACACAGAGTATATTTTTGATAAAAACCAGCATCCAGGACCTATTTATTATAGGCTAATAGAGCTGATTTTTTAAAAGGCTGGATCAAAACAAGATTTTGAAAAGAAACAGCCATTCTTAAAAATTGCCACAAGAGGGCAATAAACTTACATCTGATCCCATTCTTTTAGGTTCCTATAGTTACAGGATTTTGTCATAACATCAAACATACCAGGACCAAAATACTGCCTGTTAGTCCTCTGAATTTGAAAAAAAAAAATGTGCAATCCTGAGAAACTTAACAGAAACCCATGGGGGAGGGGGAGGAAAAAAAAAGAAAAAAGAAAAAAAAAGAGGTTAGAGTGGGAGAGAGCCAAAGCATAAGAGACTCTTAAAAACTGAGAACAAACTGAGGGTTGATGGGCGGTGGGAGGGAGGATAGGGTAGGTGATGGGTACTGAAGAGGGCATATTTTGGGATGAGCACTGGGTGTTGTATGGAAACCAATTTGACAATAAATTTCATATATTAAAAAAAATAAAAAATAAAAAATAAAAACTTAAAAAAATTAAAAATTTTTTTTAAATGTGCATTTTCTGGTTCTTTATGGAAAAGATATAAAAATATGCATCTTTCCCCCCCTTCATGTTCTTCAACTGAATTCAGTAAATCAAGAAAAGTGAGAGATCTATGTATGTACTTGGTAAATTACTAAAGATGAGTCATGGATGAAATAATCTATTTCATATCCAAATCAATGTAATTGATACAATATAAATTATTTAATATTTAGTAATATCCTTTAAAATATTTGTCAGCAATTTTTTTCAGAAAGTAAAATCAACATGAGGATAATTGATAATAAATAACAAAATGGATCAAGAGTAAATTTATCCAACACTCTCACAAAGGTCTAAGAACACCCAAACATGCTTATACACAATCCTGACAGTGTTCCTAGACACATGATGCATTTTCTGTGTGTTTCTTTTTGTTTCATTTTAAACAGAAAGTTTTCTCACGACAGAGGTAAATTTTACCTAGTTAAAACAACTGAAGCTGCCTCAGAGTGATACTCCTGATATAGTCACTAAAGTTTCCTTAAAGTTTCCTTTCCATCCTCCTTCAAATAACTGTGTAAGGTTAGTAGCAAGCTCCTGGTCTACCAGAGTCCCTGGAAGGCAGTGACACCTTCTCATTGCTTCTCACAACATGCTGTTTGGAAAACTGGAAGACACAGTGGAATAAGCCCTGGGCAAGATGCTTACATGGGAACTTTGGGTTGAGATGGTAAGAGGAAGAGAAAGAGAAAAAAGCCTCTTCCTATTTATATCACTATCATACATTTGTTGTCACGAATGTCGATGGGCCCAGGGTACCACTCTTAGCAGAAAGCTGTGCTCATCTTGAGATGAGTTGTAACAATTTTACTACTGAAGGGGACTTTAAATTTATTTTTACAGATAAGAAAACCAAGACCATATGAGGCATGGATTCCTGTTTGTAAAAATGTCTCTTTAGTCAAAGACTGTAATCAAAGTAAGTAAAAGTCTTTCAGAGCAAACAATCAGCAGATAGAGGTCTTTCATGCTCTTGGGCATCTGGTGTCATTCCTCTGGTTCCTCATACTCTCTACCTTCTGCCTCTCGCATACCTACTGCCCAAGTCTGACTGGAGGCACCACTTAGGCAGACTAGCTCGATTTTCCTGGATTTCCCATTAGAACTCTTTCCTAACGTTAAGACCTGTCTGCCTAGCCCTCTCTCTTGGAAGGCTCTATCAAAGCCTATTCCAGGGCCCACTCTACCTACTCAGATGGCATTTGTGCGGAGGCCTCAAGCACTACCTCATTCCCCAGTGCCCACTCTCTATTTGCATTTTTCTGTTACTTTCTCTCTCAAAGAAAACATACCTATCTCATTCCATAGTAGGAAGCTGAGCTAGTTTTAGCTTCCCCCACAGGACTGTGAGCTGTTGTGGACAGGAGTCATGTTCTCATTGCCTCGATTTTCCCAGGGGCTGGCACATAGCAGACACTCAATAACTGCTAGCTACACAAAAAAGCCAGATCTCTTACTTGGGAACTGACAGGATGCATTTGAAATTTTCCAAGAAAAAATTTAACAAAACTAAAGTGCTGGTTTGTTCCACATCCAAAAAAAAGTAAGACAAACAAGGAAGAACTGAGATGATTTAGCTTCAGTAGAATGAAGAGGAGTGACATGGTAGCTTCACACGGTGTTAACAAAACAAGTAAGAGCTGGCCACCTGTGTGTCACCATTAGCGACAGAACAGAGGAAGTGGATGTATTCCCATGTTAAACATCAGCAAACATTCTTTGATAATGAAGGTTATGAGAAAGGAAGCAAGGCCCCGAAGAAGGATGAACTCCATTCCTTGGAGGTTTCCGAAAACAGACAGACGCTCCCACAAGCTTGCTGTGGGTTTTAGGTGGGATTCTGGCCAAACAATGGGCTCCAACACATGAGCTCTTGAGGTGATTTGCAGTCTACTGTCTTTGTACAAGGAGTCAAGAGTTTCCACCTACTAAAATTTCTACTATTTCCATAAAAGTATAAAAACTAGCATCAAGAAGGAGTAGGGGCAGAATGGTACCAAGGGTCTAAACACCCAGAGAAACAGAGACCCACATTATGCAAACCGCTCCTGTCCCAACTTGGATGAAACTAGAAAATGCTTCAAACATCACCATAGGGTGTCATATCATAACTCCAAAGACCCTGGCCTGTTTCCGCAACTCTAATCTAAAAATCTACCTGGTTTCGAAACCTCAGAAGAAAGTAAGATCAGATCCGTTGCTGATTTAAAATTATTTCTTGACATAAGAATTTTAATTACAGTGCATTAAAAATAAAGAAAATAAGTGACTGAAAGAGTGGATAGTACAAAAAATTGGGGGGACACTTACTGAAGTCCATGGCATGTTGACAATGCAACAAATGAAGCAGGGTTTCCTCGGACACGGCCCTGGTAGTAGCAATGTTCTCCTCCCTGGAAACAGAAACCGAGAGCATAAGCCTCCACCATCGCCAGGAGCATCACCCACGTCATTCCTCAGGTTCCAGTGCACGCCATACCTCCATGTCTAAAGCTCTGCAGAATATTTCGTTATTCAGATTAGTGCTATCAGACCTCTTCTAACAGAATTATTCATAAACACTCCAAGCGAGCCAACTCCAAATCAAAAGATGAAGAAATAAAAGTTGACTTAACTTGCCTTTTATGTAGGTGATGATAGAAAGAGCAAAGAAATAGATACTGAAATACATCTGTGGCTCCTGCATCAGGATCAGTTGAATCATCTATCTCCCCAGTCATGAGAAACTCAACCTAGAGCACCAGCAAGATGATGCTCTTTCACATACAGATAAGTAAAAATGACTATAAATCATTCCAGAGTCACTAAATTAAACTGATGGAGGAAAATACCTATTTTTATAGTGTTTATAGCAAAATTTGACAAATTTATACTATTTTGTTCTCCAATCATGAATGGCTTTCCCAGGAAGCTGTCTGGGTGGGGTTTGAAATTCCAAACTTTCTTCTAGCAGCTGGTTACATTAACTAAAATCCCATGAGACTCATTTCTTTGGATTAAACCTTCCTGGAAAAGGAAATAGGATAAATCCTCTGCCATCTCAGGGTGGTGCCTCAGTCTTCAAATACCTGCCACTCAAAGCATAGTCTAGAAACCAGCAGCACTAACACCCCCAGGAGCTGGTTAGAAGTGCAGTTTCAAACTCCAGGCCCAACCTATCTACTTATTATATTCGGCATTTTAACAAGGCCCCCGTTGATCCATATGCACATTAAAATTTGAGAACCATTGTTCTAAACGGCCTCTTCCATTCCCCCACTAATCTCCTATTTCTTCAGAAGCTGAAAGCTGCTACTTCAACTGATCCACTGAGATGTGAAAGAATGAAATCAGAAGGACTTGAAGAATGGATGGTTTAAAGGGGCAAATGCTACCTGCCTTATAGTCTGACTTTAGGACTAATCCTACCTCAAATATTCAGTACTTGACAAGTAGAGGGGAGAGAACAGAAAGACACAGGATGTAACAAGCCTGAAGACATTTTCTGCACTGGAATCCCAAGGAAGGCAGCTGGGCCTGTAACTTCTGCTCCTCGTGAGATAATCCTACAGGATCTGGGGGACCTCAGCTGCAGTGAGGGGGCAGAGAATAGGCACTCGAGCTAGTCTGCCTAATCCTGTGACATCACCAAATCTCCAAAGGAGTCACTGAGCATCATGAACTGAGGAATGCAGTTGGATTTGATGGATGGTAAGAACAGGGGGGTACTTCACCTATAAGCCTGGCAGGGGGTATGACCCAATAGGCCACAGACTGTATTTCTGTCCTAGGAAATACAGACAGACACCAACTTTCTGCATAGGGCTGGTTTGGTGTAGACGCTAACTGCATGAGCTATCAGCTCCTTCATTTACTGGCTGTGTGACCTCAGGCAAGTTACAGGCCATCTGGCAAATGGGGGCAACAATTTCAGAGGGGTGTTCAGATCATTAAAGAGGTAAAATGCAGAAAGGGCTTAGAATAATGCTTGCCACTTAGTAAGCACTTAATAAATGCTTGCTACTGTTATAATTACTGTGTGTCAATTATTCAATGTGCATACACAATCACCTTAAATCCCTACATCAATCCTATAAAGAAATATTGCTCCCTCTGTTCTACATAGGAGGTCACAACCTTAAGAGTGAAGGTTGTCCACCTGGGAAGTTGCGAAGTAGAGATGCAAACTTTATGTGAATGTGTAAATGCAAGCCCTGTGTCATTTCCCCTACACTACTTATGAGTTGGGCCTAGAACCTGTAGGGTGTCTAGTGAAAATCTAACCTTTCCCCCAGGCTGCTTCTTTAGGGGTTTTGTTTGTTTTAATTTATTTTGTGAGTAAAGCTAGGAGTAAATTTAACAGAGTTTAAAATATCTTCTGTTGTGAATTATCCATAACATTAGATTGTAAATTAGAACTCACTATGTTTCAAAAGACCTTGTTTTCCTGGAAACATCTAATTGGACCAACACTCTAGCTTTCTACTCAACAGACAAGAGGGGCCAAGAGTCAATGGGGTCACCTGGATACAGAGATAATTCTATCTAAAAATGTTTCCCTCTATTGGATAGTTACTAAATAACCCCATCAGATCTCTTTCTGAAGTCTAAGACTGTAGTGAACAGCAGATATAAAGATAGTAGAAACAGGTGGCTCAGTTGGTTGAGCATCCAGCTCTTAGTTTCCGCTCATGTCATGATCTCACAGTTTGTGTGTTCGAGCCTCGTGTCAGGCTCTTTGCCAACAATGCAGGGCCTGCTTGGAGTTCTCTATCTCCCTCTCTCTCTACCCCTCCCCTGTGCTCTCTCTCTCTCTCTCTCTCTCTCTCTCAAAATTAAAAAAAAAAAAAACTTAAAAAAAAGCGGAAACAAAAAAGATAATTACAAGAATTATGGTATCAAATTAGGAAACAATGGAAATTGACAAGTCACTGTACGTGGGGAAAATATGTCAGAGGCAAAGGCACATAAGAAATCTTTTATAAACTACTAAAGTTTTCTTTAAAATGCCAACTCTGGAAACATGTTATAGTAAATCATAAAAAAAAAAAAAAGAATTCATGTTTTAAAACAATCTCCCAATATACTGGGACTAAATAGATGATTAGATAATGGAAAACAATCTTTCACTAATTTCTGATTCTGAAAAATAGGAGTCAATCCAAAAACAGCATATGATTGAGACCCATCTGCACAAAAGCCTAACACTGCAAATGAAGCGAAGAGCTCAATATGGTTGACTCATTATCAAATGTTTCCATGACACTTCAAGAGAAGCACAAACAACAGGGGGGAAAATCTCTTCAATTGGGCTATTTACAATTCCTATCCTGAGGCTCTTCACTGATGGTACATGCAATTCTTCTAAATACTGATGAGGAATAATTTCTGTGTTGTGATTTTTTAAGGGATTATTAACCAGATAGCAATAGCTATTAAAATAAGAACTAAAGCAATGAAGTTTTACATTGAAATTATTAATTTATTACTAAAATAAATAAAATAAGTATTGCTTCTCAGCCTTTTGGGTAAGATCAAGTGTAAAATACATAAAATAAATTTAATAGATTTTGAGTTTTTAACGTAACTTTTTATCCAGTATTTTTTTTGTTTGTTTACCCAGTATTTAAAAATTAAAACATGCTTACAGAAAAATTCTAAGAATTCAGGAGGTACATGACAAAGAGTAAAAAAATATTTCCTTCATAAACACTGTCCAGGCTATAGATGACTCCTAAAAAGTAAGCATGTTTGGCAGATTTTGTGTGCTGTATCAGGAATGGTCTGTATGGTATATTTAAGGAAATACCTAAAGACACAGATATCTATTTCAGTGCACTAATGGGTTGTACACTGGGCACACTGTTCTGCCACTTAATTTTTTTCCTTTTAGTTAACCTTGACATCTTTGTGTATCAATATCTCATTCTTCCAGTGATGGCATAATATTCCATTAGAGGGGTGAACCATGATTTATTTAAATAGTCCTGTACTAACAGACATTTAGATTATCTCCATATTTGTTTGTTGTCATAAACAACATTGCAAACATCCTTTAACATATTTTGTGCAATTCTGTCGCTATGTCTGTAGAACACATTACTAGATGTGGATCTGGCAGGTCAAAAAATATGTGCATTTTAAACTTAAAAAAATACTTTAAGAAGCAAATAAAATTGTGTATCTTTGCACTCATATCTTAAAAGAGGCACTCCATTTGAAAATAAAAACAGTATACTGCAAAAAAGATGACTCCTTAAGCCACTTTCTCGAGTATTATCAATTATAAAAGTTCTCCATATCTTCATACAACTTTCTTGAGGAACCAGATGCTTTATGAAAGTAGGTATTATAAATAATAATCTAAGACAGATGTAGGAAAAGAAAAAAGCCAGCAGCACATCCTAATAGAGTTCGGCTCTTTATCCGACTGCCAGTCAGAGCTTTATCCCTTAAAGTCTCTTTTGTTACAGAAATAAATCCACTGTCATTGAAACTTTCTTCGTACTCCTTGATTTAGTAACACAATCATAACAGTACAGATGTTTATTTTTAGCTAATTAAATAGTTATAGCTAAAAAAAATTACCCACCTCTATAAAAATGAACTGTATGATAGCTCCACTGGTTTACTTCCCCCTGGACAACAGGCTTATTGTAATTTTTATTCTAGGGAAGTCAAAATAATCACTTACTTGCAATATTCAAAGACAAACCACATTTTTATTAAATAGCCAGAAAGATCTCAAAACAGAAACAGAGTTTATTATAAATACGATAAACTGAAAGCACTAAGGAAGTTACACAGACTGGGTTACAAAACTATAAAAATCCAATAATGGGAACCAATTGGAGCGCAGCACCAAGGCCACAGTCATTTGCCCTCCATTCAGACCCTCAAAGGAAATTCTGCAACTTTCATCAGTTCCAAGAGGAGCGGAGCCAGGGTTACCTCCTCTAAAGAGCCTTCTCTGAATCCCTCCTCTTCACAAATTACTCTTCCTAAACCTCTTTGAATTTTCATATATTTTCAGGTCTGTACTCCACCTCATTACTATGTCCCCCACTAGACCATGGTGTCTATGTTTATATCGCCAAGTGTGCTGTTAGAAAACTGTGAATCTCAAGTTTCCTCATCAATAAAATGGGGATAATATCTACCCACACTGCTTCACAGACATATGCGAAGGATTCCAGGAGATAACAAATTAAAGTCCACTGTAAACTGCTATATAAATAGGTGAGAGGTGCAGTCGGGGAATATTTACTCAATGAAAGATTCTATCATGCTCCTTGAGCTAGGATTCTGTTAATTTATTGTCAAGACGAACAATTCAGGGCATTGATTAATAGGAATACACCAGAATAGTGGTTCTCAATCTTGGCTGCATATCAGAATCACCTGGGGAGGTTTT